AGGGAAAGCCTAATTATGGACTATATGACCTACTGTTGGACAATTAAGAAGAATATTTCACTGCACAAGTAAAGACAAGGTCACATTTTAGAACCAAATATAGTTAATATCTTGATGTTCTATGATTTTTGCAGCTCCCAAACCTATATTTTGCTCTAGATGCCTAAAGTCAAATCATATGTTTTAAAAATAGCTTTATTGAGGTATAATTGACATACAAAAAATGTACAGTTAAACTGTACAATTTGATATGTTTTGAGATATATGTATATATCTCCATGAAACTATCACCACAAATAAACAGCAAAGTTTGCCCCTTTGCAACCCCTTTTTCCTGACTCTCCCTGCACCTCCCATCTCCAACCACAGGTCTGTTTTCTGTTACTAGCAATTGCATTTTCTAGACTTTTATATAATTGGATTGTACATTATGTACTCTCTTTTTTGTCTGATTTCTTTCACTCAACATAATTATTTTGAGATTCATTCATGTCATAGTGTGTAATAATAGTTCATTCCTTTTTATTGCTGAGGGGTGTTTTATTACATACACCACAGTTTTTTTCCCCTCCATTCACCTGTTAATGAACATTTGGGCAGTTTCCAGTGTTTGATAATTACAAATAAATACATGAGTATTCATATAAATTATTCAAATTGACATACGCTTTCATTTCTCTTGGATACTTAGGAGTAGAATGGCTGAATTATATAGTTGACTTATGTCTAGTATTTTTAAAAACTGTCAAAACTGTTTTCCAAAGTATGATTTTACATTCTCACCGGCAGTGTATGAGAGTTCCACTTTTCCGCCTTCTTAACAACACTTGTTATGGTCAGTCTTTTTTTTTTTTTTTAAATTGGAGTATAGTTGATTTACAACATTGTATTAGTTTCAGATGTACAGCAAAGTGATTCAGTTACATATTTTTCATTATAGGTTATTACAAGATATTGAATGTAGTTCTCTGTTATACAATAAAGTCAGTCTTTTTCATTTTAGCTGCTAGTCTATGTGTGTAGTGATATCTGCTTGGGATTTTAATTTGCATTTCCCTAATGACAAATTACGTTGAGCATTTTTTCATGTGCTTATTTGCCATTCATATGTCTTCTTTGGTGAAGTCTCTATTCAATTTTTTGCCCAATATTTTAATTCAGATACTTGTTTTCTTTTTGTTGAATTTTGAGAGTTCTTTATATATTCTGGATAGAAGTCTTTTATCAGATGTGTAATTTGCCAGTGTTTTCTTTCCATGTGGCTTGTCTTCCCTAACAGCGTCTTTCACAGGACAAATGTTTTTCATTTTGATAAAACAATTCATACATTCACGTATCTTGTTCTTGGTGCTGTATCTAAATATTTTGCCTAATCCAAGGTCATAAAGATTTTCTCCTATATTTTCTTCTAAAAGTGTTAAAATTTTTGGTTTTACATTTAAATCTGTGACCCATTCTAGGTTAATTTTTGTATATGGTCTGAGTTATGGATTGAAGTCCATTTGTTGTGTATATGGATATACAGTTGTCCCAGCACCATCTGCTGAAAAGGGTATCATTTCTCCACTGACTTGCCTTTGCACCTTTGTCAAAAATCAGTTTTCCATATATATGTGGGTCTATTTATGTACTTTCTATTTTGTTCCATTGATCTATTAGTAATAATGCCAATACCACACTCTGTTGGTTACTTTAGTTTCCTACTGTCTTGAAATCAGACATTCCTCCAGGCGTGTTCCTTTGCTAACTCCTCTTGGCTATTCTAAGTTCTTTGCGTTTGCATATGAATTTTAGAATCAGTTTTTAAATTTCTAACATAAAAAATCTAGATGGGACTTTGATTGGCATTGTGTTGATTAATTTGTCTCCTCAACTCAAGGAGATGGTGGGACTCCTTTATGGTTTCCCTGCTGTGCACCGTTGCCTGGAAACTCTCTCCAGACAGTGATCTGGGGCAATTGTAGGGCTTAACTTTGTTCATTACCTGTCTCTCAGGGATCACTGTCCTTTCTTTCCTGCTG